TGCACCAAATTGTGTAATGTATGAGAATTCACTTCATCTAGTTTTTCGGTTGAAATAATTTTACATTTCAATTTAAATTATAAAGATAAATTTTGACATTTGGTAGAATTTTCTTTTGACCCAGAGAAAATATTTTCTAAACTGAAATTATGATCTAGACATAAAGTCAACTGTTTCAGAATCATTAAGCATATTAATAGTTCCAGAATCATTAAGCACATCAAAAGAATCATTAGGCATGAATTGAAACTTTGAAAACTAAATGGAACTTTCATGATAAAATAATAAGACTAGTATTTTTAATTTCTCAAGTAAATATTATTGGTAAGATAGTAGACTCTAGGACACTGATAAAAGTGTGCTAAAAGGCACACAAAGTGATTATTCTGCTAATATTTTTATTGTTGAGATGAGTGGAAGGATTTAATTTTGCTCTGAAGAATATGAGAATTTTTTATTTAGAAAGAATTTTTTAAAAAATTGTATTACAGAACTAATTTCTACACTTACTAGCATAATAAGGTGACTTTATCTCAGCGACTTGAAAATAAACAACTTTACTTATGTTTGAATGCTAACTTTAACTTCTAAGGATATCCTTTTTAGATAAAATGTACTACATGTTATGATTTTTAGGTAGAGTTCAACTTGATTGGATCTGGGATCCTTTCCAAGAAGCGGCAGAACACACTACTGTTTAGTTCATGGAAGATTAGGCTTGGAGTCTGTGTCTGGACCCCATCTCTTTTGCTCTGCCTTTCTTCCCCTGCTCTGAATCCCAGCCACTATGAATGAAGCAGGTTTGTTATGCCACACCCTTCTCCCATAATGTCTGCTATAGCTTGGATGGAAAATGTTCTCCAAAAATACAAATGTAGACAGATCTTTTTGAAGTTGATTGGATTATGGGGGAGATCCTACTGACAGGCTGTGAAGAGGTGAGACCTGGTCCGAAGATGAGGATAACTGAGTACATGATCTAGAAAAGTCTATGTTCCTTCCCAGCTTCTTGCTTGCTCTCTGCTTCCTGGCCACAATGATGAGAGCAGCTTTCCTCTCCTGTTCTCATCTGCCATGTCATTTCTACCCTGAGGCCACTGATCATGAACTGTAACTGTAAACCAAAATGTACTTCTCTTTAAGTTGTGGGTTCTGGGTATTGTGATATAAAGATGAGTTTCATGTCAATTAAAATATATAAAGGAATGAAAAATGAAACTTAAGAGAAAAAACAGTCAGAATGGGAAGAAGTAGCTGTTAAACAAAAAACCCCCAAAACATAATATTAGTTATTGGAGTGAACAAAATGTTGAATGGTGGTTAAAATAGAAAATTGGAGAATCAAAAATACAAAAATAAGTTGAACATGGACTTGAAGGAATGACATAGGTTGTGACAAGAAATGAAACGTAAGAGTTTAACAGATCTGGAGTCTGAGATGAAAGGGTCCAACAAATATTTGTGTCCTGAATGAGAGGCGAGACAGTTTTCTAGAGGAATGAGTACACATTTCTAGAATGGATAAATTCTCTCATTCAAGAGTCTAAGCAAGATATATAAAAAGATATGTATTGCTCCTGATCAAGATAAAAATAAACTTACTTCATAAAGAAAGCAAAATTCTAAGGACAAAGAGATGTTAAAAATATATGAAGAAGAGAGCAATTAGATTGGAACAATAATTTGGATGGCCCCCAACAGAAATAAAGAAGAAAATGGTAGTGAAATAATATCAAACTGGTGAGAAGAGCATCGTTTAACTCAGAATTTATATTCAGTAAAACTATTGCTCAAGAGGAACATATCCTTTGAGAGGAATATTGAGATGACTTACTTTAATTTGGAAGTGCTGAAGTATTCACTACAGGGAACAATTGAGTTTGAACCCAAGATTGAGAAATACAATGCAAAGGATAATGCTAAAAAAAAGTAAATAAGAATCAATCTAAGTAAGTGTTAATAGTAAAGTATTTTCAATTAGTTTGATGGGTATAAAAGCAAGTTAGAATTAAAGTAGCAGATACAATGACATAGTAAAATTCTAGTAAAAACATAGTAAAATTCTAGTAAAAAACTAGAATAACAAATGAACATAGAATTATGCTTAACTTCTCACTAGTGATCAGAATACTGAATGTTAAAGCAATAATGTTATATCACTGCACACGTCCCTGATAAGCAAAATTTAAGTTTGACATATAAAGTGTTGGTTAGTATATAGGACATCGAGCGGTTTATTATGATGATAAGGATGGCAACCATGTCAGCTACTATGGAGAACAATTCTATTATTTTCCAGTTATTATTGAAACAAGACATTCTATGATAAGGAAATTGCTACACATATGATCATAATGGCATCATTTGAGATTATGTAAAATAGAAACAATACAGTTGTTTTTTCTTGGAGCAAGTGTTGGGGAATTTACTCAGGATCTTCTAACTGAGCTACAAACCCAAACCTTTTTAAAGTTTTGAAATATGATCTAGCTCATAAGCGCATTATGTTTTCTAAAAGATTGTAAATTTTTTTTTTTTGTCTTTTTTGTTTTTATCGATACCAGGGATCAAACTCACGACTGCCTGCTTGCAAGGCAGGCACTTATGCCTCTGAGCTAAATCCCCAGCCCCAAGATTGTAAATTTTCAAGGTTAGGTTCATCTTGTTCATGGGAAGGCTGACCATGTGTTTAAGTCAAACTTTTATCACAGTACTCAGAACTTACAACTTGAAGAGAAGTTTAATTTTTCATGGATTCAGTCCATGATTGGTGGGCTACAAAGCAGAGATTTGTCATAGTCACTTTCTTCTAACTGGGACACAGTGCCCGCCTCCTGCAATTTAAGAGGTACATTTTGGCTCACAGTTATAGTCCATGATTAGTGGTCCCAGGGCAGAAATGACATCGCAGAAGAGGAGAGGAGAGGAAAGCTGCTCTCACTTTTGTGGCCAGGAAGCAGAGAGCAAACAAACAAACAAACAAAAAACAGAATAAAACCCAACCCAACAAAACAATGAAAATGATATGGTTTCCTGGCTGGGATCACTTCCTGGTGAGCCCTGGTTCTCTCTGGCCATGCAGTCCAAGAATGACACAGACTCATGGAGAGAGGTTTGGGAGTGGCTGTCTTCACTCCAGCACTAGCCAGAGCATGGCATTGCTTTCCAGGCCGGATCATCTCCTGGTGAAGCCTCTGGATCTCTCTCTCTCTCTCTCTCTCTCTCTCTCTCTCTCTCTCTCTCTCTCTCTCTCTTTTTGTTTGTTTGTTTGTTTTGTGTAATTATGCTATATCTGGTGGCCAGAGAAGCTGTTTGAAAGATAATGAGACATTATGTAGCCATTTTGGATTTACTAGTGGCTTCTCTTGAAGTCCGTTACTGCATTCACTGTTTTGGCTTTATATTTTTACTCTATTTTACTCTGTTCAATTTTTACTATGTCCAAAATATCTGCAGCTATTTTGAAGACAATGAAAGGCATTATGATAACTATTGTTGGTTTTGTAAGGTTTCGAAGTCCTGTATCACTTATACTGGTTTATTTTTGATTGGTTTTATTCAGTTTTATTTTCCTTGGTCTTCTCCTATTTAAAATAAATAAGTATATAAAAGCATAAAAAATGAACATTCTCAAGAAAATTTGACCATATTGATGCTTATTTTAACAGGATGGTTTCTATTCTCTGTAGTAAAGCAGTCTTTATTTTTCTATTTTTATTTTTTTGATGTTGCAAATATCATTTGTTCTTTGGCAAAAAAATCTTTAAAATAGGGGAAAAACCAGCCCTGTATTATCTGCTACATTTGTGTCAGAAATAAAGTACTAAGAAATATACATTAATATCCCCATATTACAAAAGGATGATCATCTGCTGTGTCTGTCTTTTCCCCTCCAAAAGTCATTTTAACACTTAGTTGCTGAAGCAATAGTAGCAAGAGTTGGAACCATTAGGAGGTGATTAACTCATGAGCACTCTACTCTTCTGAATGAGATTAATGTCATAAAAATCAACTCATGACCCACAATTATGAATCAAATAAGAAAATATTCTACCTTCCAGTGTATAGAAAACAAGGATATTTGACCCAAAAATATGTTTCTGGCATAATGATTATTTTGAGTTTGTTATTTTATCTTATTGGGTTTTTTTAGTAGACACAATACCCACTCTTTTTGCCCGTCCATGTATTCCGTCATATGAGGATACAAACTTTATTTCCACTATAGGAACAAATTACCAACAAAGTGCCATTTTAGAAGCAGAAACCAAACTCTCACTGGACCCCAGCTAGCAATTTGATCTTGAACCGCTCAGCTTCCAGAACTTTGAGAACACATTTCTGTTCTTTATACATTACTGCTAGTGAGCATTTTGTTATAACAGCATAAATGCACAGATAGTAACTTTACAAACAACAAAAAACAAGCAGCTCAAATGGGTTGCAGCATCAAGATTAAGAAGACTGTCTTCAGATGAGGGATTTTGTTGATAATATATGTGCACTAAGAACATTTAAAGTATCTAAACTTATCTCCAAAACATATTTCTACTTTTAAAAGTTTCTCGATATTATAAGAAGAATCAACCAACATAGATTTTAAGAAAGTGAGAAAAGCTGAATGTGAGAAGGGCATACATACACCTTAATCATATTTTCAAAAAAATATACAGCGTATCACATGTCCCTACCACTTCATCTCTTCAACACAGAAGAAACGACATACTAATACTAGTGACACCATCTCTACCCACCTCTTATTCTCATTTTAAATTGGAAACTTGTTTCATTGTATCTATTATGCAAATATTAACCTCAAATTTTATGTTACTACTCTCTATCTAGTGGAATCTCCTCACAGTGACCAAGAGACTCTAATCCAAAACTTACGTAACCAGGTATGTGTATACTGAGGCATATCTCTATAGAGACCTCACTAAAGAAACAAACAAACAAACAAAAAATGCTTTACTAGCAACAGACAGATTCCTTAAAATTACCTGGGCTTCTGACCACCGCTGAATCATTCCTGCTCTCAGTGTCCAGAACGACAGCCAGGCCCACGGAGTCTGCTGGCAGGACGGAGCTGCTGAGGTCCACCCGGGTCAAGCTCATGGGCTCTCTGGAAGAGGATCCCAAAGTGTTTCTGGTCTTGTCTCCTCCAGCTGAATTTGTTTCTGCATTTTTCTTTCCTGGTCTCTGCACAATGTGAACGATGCTCTGTTGCTCCAGATCACAGTTCTGTTTAGAAGCAACACACAAATGTAAGAAAACAGCAAGCACTAGACATTAAATAGGATTTAAGATGCTGGATGCTAAATAAGGTTTAACTTGTCATCAGTTCTAGAGTATGTAACATGTTTTAAAGTTTGTATAAGTATGATTTTCACATGTAATAGTAGAACCGGAAAGAAAACAGATGTATGTCATTAATCTGCTGTGGCATACTTACGTAGCCAGAAGGGCCTAATAGAACTTAAATACTGTACAATTTGGATAAGAAATACCAAACTGTGGCCAGAAATGGAAATTTGGAAATAAAAGAAAAGTACAATATTTAAAAGAATATTGTCTCTTATGGAAAACTGCACTGTATCCCATTAGCATAATAAAAATACTATTTTCAATTTTTTTATTAGTGCATGTCAGTTACATAGAATGGTTGGTTTCATTTTGGTATATTCATACACACATATAATGTACTTTACACAGCAAATAATATTATGTGAAAACCTATTTACCTTGGAAGTGATATGTCTTTATAATTATTAATTTAAATATTGGCAGTTATGTCTCCTTTGTAAAAGCAGTTAGTTACTATCAATTATGCCACATTCCTCTACAGAATTTAAATTAACTGTGGTGGCAGTAGCTTCCACACACCCTCTCTAATCACTAGCAAGCCCACAGCCATACTGAAAGGCAAGTGAAGAGTACAGTCTTATTGGCCATTGTTTTCTCCACCAATTTTATAATTAAAATCAGTAATGATTTACAATTTCATAATTAAAATCAATAATGATTTACAATTTCATAATTAAAATCAGTGATGATTTACATTTTTTGAAAATGTGGCTTGAACTTTGATTTTTTTCACAGAACTACATTCTCATCCCTTTTTGAATTTCTTAATTGTAATTTTTAAGATTATTATTATTTTTAATCATTATTTTTGTATTTCTTTTTTTTTTATTGTTTGTTGTTTGGTACCAGGGATTGAACTCATGAACTTGCACTGGCCAGGCAGGCAGTTGTGCCGCTGAGCTAAATCCCCAGCCCAAGGTTGTTCAAATTATTGCTGTTTTGTTTTTGTTTTTATTAACACTTGGGTTCAACCAAAGCCCGTTGCACTGAACTATACCTCATTCTCTTTTTATTTTTTGTTTCAAGATAAGATAATGCTAAATTGCTCAAGCTGAGTTTGAAATTACAATCCTTCTGCCTTAGGGCTGGAATTATAAGCATGACCTTATATTTTTTACTTCTTTTCATTGTTCTTATAGTACATTATTTTTCACATCATTCATTCCTACATCTAATAAGCATATGTTGTACTCTTTCTATCTTCTTGATGTGGTTATCCATGTAACTGATTTTGGCTGATGGAATATTAGCAGATACGATTTAAAATTATTTTGCCCGACAGGAGTGCATTCCTAAGAAACTCCCACTTTCTCAGTCTGAGTCTGACAATTGCATATATGTCACAATCACAAGCCAAGGTGTTGAGAGGGTCCAGTGCAGCTTTGGCAACAGCTGGGAAGCAGACTCTGTGGATGCAAGTTGACTGGGCAGCACGCAACAGACTTACAGACACACTGCAAAGACAGGCTGATAACATGTGGCAATGACACTTTGTGATTGTTTCTTAGCAACCACAGACAGTGGACAGCACTCCCTGTCCATTCTACTGTACTCACCTAGCGACTAAGGCAGCATCATGTGAACCACTGACAACCTGGAGCCTGAAATTTGATTTCCACCACACTATTAAAATTTGGGAATGCAGAAGGGAAACACACATGAAAATATGAGACTGGCAGGAAGGAATATGGTGAGGTTTTTGCCCATATCTTTTCTTTTCAAGAATGATAAAATCCCACTCTCCAACTTCACAACTGAAATACTTCATGTGATCATCTGAGATAAAACTAACACCCAGCTCTCTCTCTCATCCTAATCTCAAAAGTCTGCCTGCTATGTTTTGCTTATTGCAGTGGTTTATAGCATATGTGTGAGTGAATCTTTGTAAGAGATTTTGGGTCCATGCATTATCTTCCAGTTTAAGTTAGAAACCTCCAATAGCATAGCTGAGTCAGAATTGTACATTTGTCAGGACTCTAGGCCTAGTAAATATAGAAAGTATATCTGTTTATTGAAAAATCTATAACTAAAGGGAAACAAGAAGGATGAAGAATGAATAAAGGAGTGAATGAACGACTATAAACAGTTATGAGTTCAATGTCTAAAGTTCTTCATAAGGAACCAACAGAATGTAGAAAGAGCAATGTAACAGAAGTCAAATAGACTGCCCTACATACTTTCTAGTGCTGTGTAATTACTTTTTCTTTTCACCCTCAATTGTTGTCATAGATGATACCATAGCATACTTTTAAGATATCTCTGAAGATATAAGGCCATATAAAAAGTACATATTTAAATCTACAATAATAACTCTATACATAGGTAATGGAAACACTAAGATCATATATGCATTTTGAAAACTTAAGAGGAGAGTCCCTTAATTTGTACATCAAAAAGTCCTCAGAATTCTTCTTGGTGTTCCATAAATACAATATCACAAACACAGAACCTATGAATTTATCTGGTGATACCAAAGCTTCTTGTGATCTAAAAGTTGATAATAAAAAATCCCTACATGTTCGGATTCCATCCGACACTTAATTTGATCATTATGGAACATATCCAAAAGATGCACTGCCCTCTTCTCTCAAATCCAGATTTTCCTAATGCTCAGGGTATCACTGGATAGGGGAACAGGAAGACCCAAAACAGATTTCAGTAGTTATGGATATATTTACCCATCTGCGTCCATGATTCTGAGCTCTTTAATTGCTCAAGTCCTTGACTTTCTTATATAAATCATGTTTGATCTCCCAAGAGGTCTCTGCCAGATGCTACACCCTCCAATCACATTAGTGCCACTCAAACCACATTAATAGCATCCTCAGAACAATAAATTAGATATAAATTTAGTTAAGTAGTCACTGAAAACTCCAAGTAATATTTAGACTTCGCAGTGCACCAAAAATTTTCTCAGATTTCAGAGGTGAAGATTTTCTGTTGGAATACTGGAGATTGCTACAAAGTGGTTTTTAAATCCACTCAAGGTAAAAACAAATTCTTATTTATCTTTGTTTCTCCAATGGCTATAAAACTGTCTGGCAAAGTGAAATTAATAAGAATAGGGTATTTCTTTTTATAACTTATTAACCCAACAAGTAGAACAGTGACATAAACAGCTTAGCATGGAACAACAAGTACATATTTGCCCAGCAGATACTGGTCTGATACCATGAAGAACGTATGTTGACTCTTTGGTACCAAGGGATCATTGTGCTTGAGGTGCCTCTCTTTTAAAGGACCTTTGAGGAGTAAATATCTCAGCATTAATAAAAATTCTATGGGTGATTTTTTTTCCTTCCAAATAATGATTAGATCTCATCAATTGGCCATGTACAAAATTTTACATACTTTTCTTTTCAAAGATTGCACTTTGATAGCATGTAGTATATCCAAATATTTCAGAGAAAGCCTGGCGATCCAATTAGAATCTTGAAAATAATAAACACTTGAGAAATTAGATGAAGCTCTTCAGAAATATTCTTGAAGCTTTAAACACTGAAAAAGTAAATGATATTACACATACACATATACAACATATTAGGCACTGAAAAGTATTCAATATGTTTTCTAAATAAAGGAAAATTAACACATCATCTTAAGCCAATTAATGAGACTCTAAAATAGTATAAAATGTTGCATTCTTAACAAAATGGTTATATGGTATAACAATAATATTTAAAATAAAGTAAAACACATATACAACATTTTTAAGGTCTAATCATCTTTTGGACTCATTTTATAGATGTAATAAGATGTTGAACATTCTGACTGTCATATAAAGAAATAGCTATTACTATCTACTATATTCTGAATACTATCTACTATATTGTCTCCCAAAATTCAACTTCTGAAATTTAATGGTCAAAGTTATGCTGGTAAAAGAAGAAACATTTGGGAGATGATGAATTCATCAGGGTGCAACCTGCATGCCTAGGATTAATCCTGTATAAAGAGATGCAGGAAGGTGTTTTATACATCCTTAGTTTTTGCTCTTTTTGCCCTTTTGGTCTTTTCCCATGTGACATCACAGAAAGAAGGTCCTCACCAGGGACCCAAGGCCTGCACCTTGACCTTGACTTCCCAGACTTCAGAACTGAGAGAATTAAGTTTCTAATTTTTATAACACCCAGTCTGAAGTATTTGTTATGGCAATACAAAGAGATCAAGATAACATCCTTAAGTGAGTGTGGGAAGTCTCAGAATGAGGACAAAACAGGGTCCAGGGAAAGCTATTCACACATTACATACTGTAGTGCTGTTAGACTTCTCTGATTGGCCAGCAATGAATAGAAGACAAATAGGGCAGAAAAAGGAGAGTTCATGTAGTCTGAAGTAAAAAGCAGGTTAGGAGCTGCAGTGGGACCACCAACATGCAAAAAAGGCATGTGTAGGAGAAGGGCTACATTTGATTTAAAAGAGTGATTGCTAAGAAGCTGTGGCTGTTAAACAACAGCACAAAGATGAGGGAATAAGCTGGCAGATACTGAATGATCTTAAAATTCTGCCATTAGTGACGTCAGCTTCCCAGGAGATCCCAGGGATGGAAACACTGCACTTAGCGCAGTGCACTGTGCTTCTTTGCGATTTTCTCTGTTATAGATATTACTAATTCAGGAAAAGACAGTGTATTTTTCTAATATTGTATCTATAGAACTTACTATGATGGTCTGTACATGATACATACTAACCTGTGTCTGCAGAGTGACTCACTGATCGCATCAAGCGTAAGGAAGTCCTGGTGGCTCACACCTGTAATATCAGTAATCTGTGAGGCTGACACAGATCCTAAATTCTAGCTCCTCCTGGGAAACTTATCAATACCGTCTAGACATAAAAACAAGTACATAAATAAAAAAGCTGCACATGAATCTCAG